ACTCCGTTCACAACATGCCCACCATGTGCATGTCCAGCCTATCTTTGAACACCCTCACCGATGAGGCCTCAACGACCTCTTGGGGAAGCCCATTCCATACCTTCGGGGTCCTGTCAGGAAGTGCTTCCTGGTATCTAAATGGAACCTTGGTTCCCTGAACAACAATTCCAAATCCCCTCTTACCTGTAGTATCGTTAAGCCAAGTATGTAAGTATGCATTTGGTTTCTTTTTCCTTGGACTAGAATTTTTCATTTATCCCTACTGAATTTCATTCTGTTGTTTTCAGCCAAGGATCCCAAACCTATCAAAATGGCATTTAGTTTTGTTTCTGTCTTCCAGGGTATTAGCTATCCCACCCAGTTTTCTGTCATTTGCAAATATGATAAGGGTTTCCTTGCACTTCCTCATCCAAATCATGAATAAAAATGTTAAAGAGCACTGGACCAGGGCTCAGCTGTGCATTACCCAACTTGTTACCTCTCCCCAGTTTGTCAGCTGTGGATCTCCCTGATCATTGTTCCATCTAGCCCACTTTGAGCTAGTTTGCTAATCAGGATAGCATGGGGATATCATATTTCAAGCTGCAGAGACAGAATCAGTCCAAATCCTATCAAGAATATGTCAACAAATATGGAAAGTAAAACAATGGCCCACAGACTGGAAATGTTCAATATACATTCCAAGTCCCAGGAAAGGAGTTGCTAAGAGGTGAAGCAATAGAACCATTCCATTAATTCCCCATGCCAGAAAAGTAATGTTCAAAGTGCTACAAGAAATAATTTTACCCTATATGGAGTAAGAAATGACTGAGGTTCAGGCTGGATTCTGGAAAAAAAGAGTTACTTGGGATCATATTGCAAATATATATTGCCTACGAGAGCATATCACAGAATATCTGACAGATGGTCAACTAGCTGTTATACCAACCCACGGCATAGAAGCTGACTTCCAGCCTCATATATACCATCATTTTTCTAACATTTTTCACTGTGCAAGTTTGTTTAAATGTTAGTTTACTTTTCAAAGTTGGTATTATTCCAAATTGAAGCAGCAGCAGGGGAGCAGTGCTAGACTAGATGGACTGCAGCCCGTCATTTTTCATATATTAGCATAAAGGAGAATCATTATAAATTACTGTACCAACAGTATATAACTCATCTGCTCAGTCAAATCTACTCAAATAGTGAAAATATCCATTTGATGTACAGAGAATAGTATGCACACATGTATATGCACGCACACACACATGATGGAATTGCCAAGACAATACTTGTGCAATATCCTTGGTAATATAGTGCACCATGTCCTTAAATCCACTGATAATTTCAATAGGGTATCTGGCTGAACAAAAAATGATAATTTGTTTGGAACCATTGACAGCAGCTGAGATACTGTTTCACCAGTGTCCAACATAGATTTTACCTGTAGGAGCGAGAGGGACTTCTTTGTGGCTATTCCAAAGTGCTGGAACTCCATATGAAGCAAGGCTAACTCAATATTAGTTGCCCTTCTGCAATTGGCAGGTAAAGTTCAGCCTATGTATAGCCCCTGTGACTATCCCTGCTGCCCCAAGTGTTATATATTGTTTTTAATGGCAGCCATAGCAGCTGCGGGGCATGGAAATAAGCCTCCATAAGGTTTAACTAAGGCCATGAAATTTCCCTTTTGTAATGCCTCTCACATGGACTGGAGAATTTTCATTCTGAACTTTTGGGATGCCACAGATTTGTTGATGTACTTTAAGTCCATCATGGCCTTTGGATGTCCCCTTTCTACCCGAGAATGATAAAAAAGATTGTGTATACCATTGAAAGTGTTTCTAGTGAGGGAGCATGTTCCAGTACCCTGATTTGGAGCAGACTGTTGATTGCATAGGAGACAACAGCCTTCGTCTCTTTGTAGAGAGAACATGGGGTGAGAGAAAAGTTGTGTTTTGGAAGAGTCACAAATTCTATTGGGTATTCATGTTCTATTGTTTTAGTGTTCTATTTTTTTAGTGTCCAGTGATCTGAAGCCACGTTCTCCAAACCAATTGGAAGCAGCTGAGTCCTCCCCTTCCCATCTAAGACACTATTTTGTCTACTGTCTTCCTGACTCGGACTAGGAAGCCAAGCTTGTTCTGCTAACAGAAGGACTCTGGTTTCAAGGCCTTTGCCTTGAAAAGCTGCATTTGTTTAAATGTAGTCATGGTCAAATTCCCCCTGCAGCATGTATCCATATTCCAAAGACACAATCTTGCCACTACAGTTGCAGTGATGACAATGCCATATAACTGACCAGGGCTTTTTTTGTCATAGAACTCACCGGAACGGCATTCCGGCACCGTTTTTTCAATGGATTTTACGAAGTGATTTTGAAAGGCGTAGCAGATCAGCAGCAAACATCATTGACATAGTGCCTGCAGGCTGCTATTGTGTCTGCTATCTGAGTGAGAGACAGCTGCTTGGGACGCTGCTCTGCTGCTCGGCTTGGGATTGGTGTGTGTGCTTACTGCTGGCGGGGACGTGAGTTCCGGCACCTTTTTTTTTTTTTTTTACAAAAAAAGCACTGTAATCGATTATGTCTTGAGTAGTGTTGATTAAGGCATAGAATTTTCCAAGTCATAGTAAAGGGTAGTCCTGTCTAGATCCTTATTCTGCAGGAATATCTCCAACAAAGAAAGAGAAGAAGTAAGAGTGTACACAATGTGCCTGCATTTTCTTAAGGGCAAACTTGGACCAGTTTTGTCTGGATCTTTCCAAGGATATTCCTTATCTCTCAGGGTTATAGCTCCCTGCAAAAATATAAAATAAAATAAAAAATAAAAAATGGACATTTTTAAAAGATCCATGATTCTCTGAGGGAAAATGTAATTTTTTCTGCCATCCCAAAGGACTTCACACCTTGTAAGGCCAAGCAATTAGTATAGGCAAGTTTTTTTGACGGCAGAAGGAATTTGTATTTGGTCCTGGAAAAGAAGATAAAGCATAACTTCAGCTAACAGGGCAGGAAATTGCTAGCATTTTTAAAAGTTGTAATTTGTTCCATCTGTGCAAAATCAGACCACTTCCCTCTCCCTATCTGCTGAAGATTTTGGGATATCAGGGTCTGGTTCCTTTTTTTCCCCTTCGAAAACACCCTTGAGTCAGGTGACTCATCTCCAGACTCTGAAAGGAATGGGAATCTAGTATAGGTTTGCTTGCTTTTGTTTGCTTGTGTGGTGGTGGGGATGAGACCAAACCGCAACATATAAACAAGTAGACTGAGGCTGCTTATTTGAACTAGGATGGCTGGATGAAGCTGCTAGAACAATCTCTTGCTTCTTATTAGCTAGCTACACTCCAGAGGCAATTTCAAGTGAGAGGAGGTGGATGAAAATGAGCCATTTTCAGGTGTGAAGGCTTCAGCTTTGACAGCATTGATAAAGGGAGCCCTGGTGGCTGTAAAGACAGGCATTGCAGTTTTGAGGACTGTTGTCCCTCACAAAACAAAAATATGTGGGAAAACATGGGGTTCATCTTCATTCCACTTTCATATCTCCCCTCCAATTCCACTGACATCAATGTGCTTCCTTCTAGATTACATGACCGGTCAATGGTATATGGCCAGATACACCTCCAAATCCATTGTATTCCATATCACCTTGAATATCTGGGTAAGTCAAAATGGTGGAAAGGCAGCAGATGCTCTTGGAAGGAAGATGTGGTGGAGGGGGTGGGGTAGGTTATCTGCAATCTTTGCTGAGCTAATGGTGCAGCTTGGGACACTTTGTACTAATCCATGTGTGGCAATTATTAATGCAGGAGATTTTGCTGATAGTGAAAATTCCACACTGGCATTCCTGAGATTCAAAATGATCAGGGACAACCACTCTGGCTGTTTTTACAGCGGTCCAGACCTGCTGTAGAACCTATTTTTGTTGTTGTTGTTCCTCTTTTACCTCCTAGTGCAGATCACATGGATGTTTTCAGATGGAGGCACACCTGTTTGTACAGGCAACAGACCAGGAACAGAAAGAAAAACAGAAACGATGAAGGGAGTATTTTTGCTATTTTTTTAAAATATAGGCTAATTTAAGTAAGCAAATTTTAAAAAGAGAATGAAGAAGGTAAAGGAGACCAAGAGGCTTGAGTGAAGTAAGCAGGTGAGAAAAAGCAGTGAAGGAAAATTTTGCCCTGGATTAAGGCAGAGAACTCAGTAGAGAGGAAGAGCCAGGAAAGACTAGACAAAAAGTTTGGTCATTACATCCCTGCTGTGCCCTGAAATGTGTGATGGCAGAACCCACAGGGGATTCCTGCTTGAACAGGGAAGTATTGTTTTCTGTGGCTAAGTTCTCAAGTTTAACTAAGAGATAGCCAGCAAATATATTACTAACAATATCAATCAAGCTAATTAGATGGGGAATAACTGCTATTCTTCTTATATATGGAAGCCATTATACTTGAATTGCAATAATTCCTATCAAATTAACATAGTAAGAAAGCTGATATAAAGGCACCTATATGTTTACATTTTCCTTAAATATGTGCCCACAGAGTCTGCTTCACTTCAGATATGAAATTGTGCTTTCTGTTTCAGCTTCAGCAGTGGTAGCCATGTACGTAAACTACCTAAGACAAGGCAAATTCTAAACCATGTGTGTTGGGATTATATTATTTAAAGACATAGTGAAAATAACTCACCCACTTATACTGCAGAACATTTGGAACCAAAATCAATCTTATCATGCCTTCTATCAAAATCAAATATTTTGCCAAAATTTTGCATGATCTTTGAGCCCTACTGTATGAGTTAAATCCATAGAAAGTTTGTTTTGAGATGTGACTGAGATTTTTACTTTTAGGAGTAATTTGCATTTTTAAAATGCTACCAAGTTTTTGGAATTATTATTATCAGGGTGAGTTCATCTGTAAACTTAGCCAATCAAAGAATGTCAGGAACAGCTTCCAAATAAACTTTTCACGTTCACATATTTCCTTCTGATTCATAACATTCAACACAAGATACATAAAACAAGTGATGAATGTTAGCAATACTGTAAACATTTATTTGCATCACTCATACAGATCTTGAGTGCACATCCTATTCACCAAAAACAAAACAAAAGAAAAACACCCCTCACACACAGGGACAGTTAGATTTGGCAAGGTATCTCATAAAAGAAAAACCAGCTCAGTTCTTCCTAACCTGGTACCATCCAGATGTTTTTTCCTTCCTTCAGCTCCATTCAGCTTCAGCCAATGGTCAAGAATGCTGGGAGTTTCCAAGTTTGAGAAGGCTGAGCTAGCTGTACAGTAAGTAACCATGCTTGACAAACCCACAAATGTAGTTTAGAAGAGAGGATGATAATACAGAATTAATACAAGCAGAAAATACCCTGTTCAAAATAGGTTTGAAGTTTAGTGCACTGTTTACATAAGTTTGAACTTAAATTTTTTATATATATACAAAAGATACAGTAAAACATTAGTGTTTATTGCAACAAACTAAGGATGCCATAATATAACATTTAGAGAGTCCCAAATCTGATACTGGCTTCTTATTCCCGCCAAATAGCCTTCTTTTGTTGCTCCACGATTGCAATCTTTTCCTGAAAGGCACATACTTATCTAAAAAGAAAGAAAAAGGAAGTTCTTTAAATATTATGTATTCAACTGAACACTTTTAATGTAGCTAAACTCCCCAGATCGAACTTAAAATCAACAACAGGATTTCTCATTATTTGGTTTCTCATAACATTCCTTGCATTTAAAACACTGTGCTCCTGGGCTACCCAAAAGCTCAGTTCAAAAACTGGCAACCTGTTAACAGGATCAGAACACTGCATTTCCTAAATAGCCAGTCTTCCTACCTTATTGAGGTAACAGAAGTAATCTGTTCCCTTTGAAGAAACAGCCAAGAAAAGGAAAACATGTGCCTTCCTTAATTTGGTCAGGATGGGTGGCCTCCCCATGCAGGGTCCATCCTTTGTTTCAGCCTATTTTTAGAACCACAAAGCCCTGTTGTACAAGAGGTAAAGCCCAGAAGTATATGGGTACAATAGGATATTACCCACATTTATAATTGTCCTTGAATTAAAAAGAAAAAGTTGACACAAGTCTCTACAGAAGAGACTTACTGAGAAACTGCATACTGTTCACAACTCTCTTCTCACATGTTCCATTTCTTTTGTCAGTAAACCACTGTCTTTGAACCAGTCTCCTTCTCATCCTCTCCACTCACTTCTGCAGCAACCATCCAAGCATTATTAATTCCACCTTTTCATTTAATATCATAACAGTACTATTCAAACCAGTTTATTTTGGAATGCAATACAGTTTCAAGCATGCTTTATCTATATTACACTTGGCTATTACTTAGGGAATACATGCAGTCCAATAAAGTCATTCACAGTTGTTGGAAACTGTTTTAAGTTGCCATTATGACCATCTTGTAATGGCACTCAGGAGAAGAATACTTCTTGAGTATTTCCTTTACTTCAACATTTATGTCATTTGCGACCTTGGAGAAAAGAGGTTTGTGGGCATTTACTTTTTCATGTTTACAGAATATAGAGTACCTTGGGCTGCTTTAGAACTCTTTGCTACTAACAACTCTTGACTGTAGTTCCATAGTTCCAACTGTTTTATCCTATCCCACCTTACATAAATGCACATGTAGAGAAGGTCTCCATTTGCTTTGTGTTTTTTAGAATGTTCAGTGCTGTGACTTACTTTATCAGGACTGCCTGAAAATTCTGAGTGCTATGCAATATTTACCTTATTTGCATATTTCTAGCAACTGACACCAGAATGTTTGCCATATAAGGAGATATGTGACAAACATTCATAATCTTGCCTATACTGCGTGCAACATCTGTCATTAAGATAAACCAAATGCCACGCTAATGAACATCCACTAGCAGAATGGTACTTTCTTCCTCTTTCCTGCCCCACCCAAAAATCTGCATTGGAGAGTTTCACAGCCCATTAGAGCAGATTTTGAATGAGGGCACTGGGGCTGCATGGGGAAGAGGAGACTTTCCATTCTGTTGATGGCACTGTTTCTGTGAGTGGAACAACAGCACTGGAAGTCAGATTCTTATAGTGGTATTAAATATACATTCCCTAGAAAACTGGCATATCAAGGAGGAGACAATGCCAGAATCCTCCTTCTAATACCTATTTTATTATATGAAGATATTCTTTGGTATGAATGAATACGGATGCAGATTTAGATTTCAATGAAAATTATGCCTAAGATAGATATTCATATAGAAAGCCATGTTATAAGCTGCCTTTAGTATAATTGACATCTATGAATTAAGTCCAACATTTCACTTAATTTTTCTTGCAATATCCAACAGGAAATATTGAAGTTATATAAATTGCTAGTTATTGCACAGGGAATTAATGGCCTGGTTTAAATTTGAATGAGTTTAAAAGTGACTGGTCATGATTTCTAAGTCTCTCCAAACACTTTAGCTCAGTGAGATACATGGAGTTGAGGGACAGAATTCTCTAGACCATCAGAAGAAAAACAGTCCCTTGGCTGAAGCTATGAACAAATTAGTTATAGTATGTTCATATCTGTAACACTAATGCACTGTGCATTTGGGCAAAACTATATTCAGTAATACAGCCACCGCATTTGCTTGATGCATGTTTCTTAACTACAATATAACAATGGGAGGAGATTTGAAACAAAGAACTAGGTCAGATGAAAATGATACCTTCCTCAAGTCCTGTCCCCCCGCACCCCCGGTAGTTTTTTCCAAACCCAGGTTTGAAAGGTAATTCAGGGGTAAGAATTTCAGGAAAAGAGTGACTGCTTGGAGAAAGGTTAAGTACATTCCCCTCCCCTTTTCACTGCAAGTCACCATCTTTCCACAGATGCTTTGTAACAGGGAAGCAACTGCTAGACTAACATAACACATGGCTGCTCTGTAGCAGTGATTTGTCAGCATCCCTAGAAGTGACATGAATATATTAAAGCAAGGCCATGGAAGTTTTAATACATGCAAGAGTGTCACAAAAATAAGCATACAAGTCAGAAGAGCAGGCATTAGTTTTAAAAAGAAAAGGCCACTGCATACTTGTTCCTGGAAGCTGTCAGATAGCTGTCTTAATATTGAGACGATTTCTAGATCTGAAACAGTCTCAATATTTTATAAAAACAGGGAGAATCATGAATGCTAATTAGCTTCATAAAGTACTTTGCAAAATGAGGACTTGAGACAGCATGTATTAGAAGTAAAGGGAAAACAGAGCATTCAAGCAAGTTAGTTATATTCTGGAGGGAGAGCTGAAAAAGAATGGCCAAATTGATTAAGAAAACAAAAGCTAAAATGCAACTACAAAAGGTCTGTTATCACACAGTGCCTTCCCAATGGAAAATGAGCAATATTCATATGAACACTATTGTTGTATCTCTAATACTGAATATATTTAATTCAATATTTCTCCATTTTTGAGCGTACAGAATTACATCGCAACTACTTTTGAAGGAGAAATACATTTATCTGAACTTTTTATTAAAGACATTAAATCATGCTCTAGTTCCAAGCATTATATTTAGATACAGTCCACGTTTTTTGCCTTTACGGTGTAATTTTATTAAGCTAAAAGGTATAGTAGAGTAAGAGCCACATCTTATGTTAAATCAAACAGCAGCTATCTTTGATGCTATATCCTTATGTACTCTTAAAAGGGGAACTCAATTACAAGTTAAAATTGCCATGAAATATTTTAGCTTGATATCCACTGAAGGTTCATTCACAACTTTCATTATTCTTTATGTCACAATGAACTGTGCCCAGTTTTCTAATTCTTTCAGTAGAGAATACCATATTTCTCAGTCAGAACCATACTACCTGCTAGAAAGACCAATTTAATAAAAAACCTGCCTTTAAAGGCAAATGCATTTTAGTTCAGCTGATCAGAAGTGGCCCATATTTTTAAAATGTGCTAATATTTTAAATATAAGTGGTTTAATTTATGCAGAAGACATGAGAAAGTAATTTACACTCATCTAATAAGGAATTAATCTCAAAAAACCCAAGAGGTAGGAGTGCTGCAAGTGCAATCCCAAGTCACAATAAATTTAGTTAGCCTACAACACACGAAGATGACTTGTTCAACCTGAGAGACTATCACTGCTCTTATTCAGGAAATGAAATTCAACCAGGAATATCATACAAGCATAAACACTTTATCTAATTAACTGAAGTAACATTTCTGAAGGGTATCAGCTTTAAGAAAATGTGATGCATAACGAGGTTTGACAACAGAACATAAAAAGCTAATATGAAGCACATCATAGACAGTCCAAGACACCCAGTAGTAAAAAAGTAGTTGGTCCACTGCCTGCTGTCAGCTAGAGTAGGTCGCCCACTGCGCCACTTGTTATTTCTATAGAACAAAGAGTGCCTGGTGGTACCTAACTAAAAAGGCATGAATTTTAGATTTAAAGTTTCATGTTTTCTGTACAACCGTTTGTTTTTTTCTAATTCTGATAACTGGGGGAAAGGAGGGTGCATGCACTAGATGTGGCAACCAACTGTCCATATGTCCTGAGAAGATGTCACCAGTGCTTTCAACTAGGGAGGCTTTTTTAGAAGTAGGTTACACCATGTACTTGTCATTCAAACCATCCACTCATCCACAGATGAAAAATAAACTGAGCTATGCTTGATTTTCATATATCCCCCGCCCCCCATCCCCACCATAAGAAATAACTCCTGAATCCTGGCAACCAACCTCCGAGGATGATTTGCATCAAAGAGTGTTGTATCATCATCGTCATCATCTTGCTCTAATGGTGTCAGCTCTGTATTTTCTATGTTTGTGTCCAGAACGCCATACCTCCGTGTCTTTCTGTTTCTTCGTCTGAGTCTGTAAAATGTGAATTACAATATATTAACTATGAACTGAAGTAGGCTACTGAAGAACAGGATTAGAAGATTTACATTCTTATGGATTCCAAAATGGAAAGACAGTATTTGAGCAGGGAGGAAAAACTTATCAAAAAGTAAAGTAGTTGAGACAAACAAAGAAGAAATGTAAATGGTTTGCTTAGTAAGGTATTACTTAACCAACAGTCAGCAACTTTCAAAATTTTGCCTTAAATCTAGCTATAAGTCACACAAGCCTAAACAAGATGCAGACCCTACATGCATTACAACTGATCATAAATGCATTAAAATACATGAGGGGTATCTCAAACACAGAATTACAGTAGATAAGTAGGTATGACACAAAAGTATTATATAAAAACTGTGACAATCTAACAATACAGTGCAACAGCCCTTTAAAAACTATAGTGTCACCAGATAGATTCAAAATACAACTGACAAAATATACAAGCAGCATCTGCACCTAACTCATCATGGGGAAGGAAACCAACTTTTTCTTTAAATATTATGCCTTTTAGAGAAGTTCATATTAAGATATAAAATATTAAAATAGTGCACAAAAACCTTCCACTATGTTTGAAAAGAGAGGCATATTTGTTGATTTTATGCTTTAAAAATTCAGAAGACTCATGGCAGCTTCTACATATTCAGGAGACAGAGCTCCTGTGCCTCCACCTTATAGCCTCCAGTTAATACACCTTCTTTCTGACTATTTCTGCATCCATATTTCTCTTCAAATTACTAAAACTGGTAGAAAAAAATTAAACTTGAGTTGTTTGTATCCTGTTGGTGTTGTTACTAAGATTACACTGCACTTTTATCCTCCTTTTTTCCTTTTGTGGGGAACCCAAAGTCTTCCACTCTGTTGTATGCTTACAATTAACAAGCCTGTGAGGTGGGTTAGACTGAGCATGAGTGACTGGCCCAAAGTCACCCAGCTTCAGGGCTGAGTGAGGACTATAACTCAGATCTTTCAGACCTGCAGTCCAGTCTTCTAACCATTACATCACACTGCTTCTCCAGTAGTTACTATTTCACACTGGTTGAAATAGTTTTCTTATGTTCTGCAGTTTTACTGTCCAGTTATTTAGACTCTAAAAGGTTGGGAGTTATCACACTTGAAGGCTTATGTATACAACTCTGCAATTCTGACTAAGATGAAAATGTGGTTTATACATTTTTAAACTTCATGCACACTTTAAAAAAACCCTTCAGAGAAGTGATCAATGAAGGACTTTGTTTAAAGCATTGCTTTCTTGTAGTCTGCATGTGCAAAGAGAATTTCCAACTAAACAATCAAACCTTGACACATACAGGTAAATGAAGGTGGGGAAGACTTCCAATGGATCTATTAAATTATAGTGATGTTGTTGCTGTTACGTGCTATTGTCTCCAACTTATGGTGACCCTACAAATGAAAACCCTCCAAAATGTCCTATCCGTATCATCCCTGCTTCACTGTTCTAAATTCAAGGCTGTGGCTTCCTTAATACAGTAAATCCATATCTTGTTTTGTTTTCCTTTTCTTCTTCTGCCTTCAGCTTTCCCTAGTATTATTGTTTCCTCCAAGGATCCTTGCCTTCTCATGGTATGTCCAAAGTTTGACAGCCTCAGTTTTGTCATTTTTTGCTTCCAGGAAAACCTCTGGCTTGATTTCGTCTAGGATCCACTTGTTTGTCTTTCTGTCACCCCAGGGCATTTGCAAGCTCTCCTCCAGCACCATATTTTGAACACATCAATTCCATTCTTGACAGCTTTCTACAATGTCCAGCTTTCACACCCATACATGATTGGGAATACAATAGCGTGAATGAACTTGGTCTTGTTCTCCAATGCAACATCCTTACATTTGATTATCTTTTCTAGTTCTTTCATTGCTGCCTTTCAATTTTCAACATTCTTCAAATTTCTTGGCTACACTCTCCCTTTGAATTGATGACAGAGCCAAGGTATATAAAATATTTCCTTATGATATGTGCTGTGTGCATATCATAAGACTGAACAGATAGGAAGATAAAACTTGTATAATGCCTTTCCCTATAGTCTGCTTCTCTATATTCTGTCTTCACAGTAGTTTCTTGTTTATGATACAGATTATATATATCAGGACAATCAAGTGCTGAGGCACACCCATTTTGTTCAAGTACATCCATAGCTTCCCTGATCCAGAGTTAAAGATTTTGCTGTGGTCTATAAAGTATAGACTGATCTTCTGATACTGTATGTGCTCCAGTAGCCAATGCAGATTTGCAATATTATCTCAAATACCACCTTACTGCCTGTGCTACATCTTGCCTCAGTATTATAGTCTTTCCATTTCTTCTGAGATTTTCATTTCTGGAGTAAAACACTTCATGTTTGACTTACCGCAAATGTCCCATTCCAGTACACTTTAGTTCATTCGCACCAAGTACTGTGATGCTTAGCTGTTACATTTCTTGTTTTATGTTCCCAGTTTGCCTTGGTTCATACTTCTAACATGCCATGGTCCAACTATAGGTGTTGTGCAGCATCAGACTTTCCTTTCACCTCTGTGCATATTGGCCACTAGACTTCCTTTCCACTTTGATCCAGTTGTGTCATTAGTGACACTGCTATTCGGACTTGTTCTTTGCTGTTCCCCAGTGCCTCATTTAGTGGTCTCCAACCTGGGCAACAATCTCATCTTGTGGCACTGTTTCTGTTTAATTTTGAACTCTTTCATCATAAGCTTTTCATGGTAAGAAGATGCAGAAGTGGTTTACCATTGCCTTATTCTACACAGAACTAACCAGAGTCAGTTTGGACATCACAGCCATTGCCTGTGAATGATCCTCTGCCAGTGCTACCTTCAGCCACCACTGCAGCCCAGTAGCTGCCCTTCAGAAGTTTCTCTGCCACCACCATTATCAGAGAGATCAATTTTCTTCTGCTGATATGACCATTACTCCTGAAGAGGGTAATGCATGTTAGTCTGTTAGTCTCTGTGTTGACCATTCTGCCTTGGTTGACCCTGCTAGGAGACCAGTATGACCTTCTGGTGGCATCGCTCTCAGCTTCTCTGACACTTTCAAACCCTCTCACCATGTTAAAAGCTGTATCCAAGAGGGAGAACAGTGATAGCACAGGAGCAACTGTATGGACAAATGCCAATGTATACTTCAACTCTCAAAGGCAAGGTGCGAGCATGTTGTGCTCCTTGTGGTGAACTTAGGATGAAGCAAACATCTGGGACACCATTGCATTATACAATATTCAGCATTTTAAGGCTACAATCCTATGCACAACTATTTGGGAATAAATCAACTGAACCTCTGTATAAAAACAAATAGTTTCATGCTACAAATATGTTAGGCATTCAGGTATGCAGGTACAATAGCCAAGTAAGGTTCAGTGCTATTTTTGTTTCACACATTGACAGGCTAAAAGGAGCATTAGTAGACTAAGGGAGCCAGCACATTCTTCAAGTAGGAGGAATCTGAAATAAATCATTTACTAAAATGGTCCTTCGTAATGTAACCACGGAGTTCCTACAGAAAAAGCTGTTCAGCCGTGTTCCTGTATTTTTCACTAATTGCAATCTTGTGTAAGAAACTCATTTCTACAGTGCCCATTATTCTATTCACATACTATGCTGTCATAGTATATAATAGGATAGCCTTACAGGTCAGATCAATGTTCCCAAAGAATGTCTTGGATATCACAGGTTGTGCTGGACCCCTGCTCTTAAGGATGCAGAGCTTGAGAGGCAGAATCAGGTTAGGGCCTTGCAGCCACCAGAGGAACCGCTACATTCCCGAAGATGTAACAGTGACCATGTAATGGTCTCAAACAAGGCATTCTGCTGGATGGAGAGAGAACCTACATGGTTTAAACACTCATGTAGCTGAATGTCTGATTTGTGAAATGCATGGAGGCTTGCCAGCAGAACATAGGCTAGACAGAGGACTTCAATCTAGCAAAGTTTTTATTGGCTAATATAAGGCTGGACATTTAACATTTAGTTCAATGCTTTGGTTCTTTATACGCACCTTTAAGAAACAAGGGAATTTGTGGGAAAGGCTGCAATCCCAGTATCATTTACCAGTTTTTGAGGACCAAATGCAGAACAGTAGACCAAGTGTTTATCAAACTCACTCTAGTGTATCTTATGCTGATAAGAATTTTAAAGCAAGCATTATGTAAACAACCAAACCAAAACACTCCAACGTTTTCCCCAACTACATAGTTACTGATACTGAAAAATAAGCTTATAGCAGAACCTTAATTTAAGAATTCTATTTTTGGTTAATAGTTATACTTAGAAGGTCAACACATGCCAACGAATTTCAAGATACAAATTTTATGCCAAAACAAATGCCAGGTACCTTTTAAGAGGCTTTTCAAATATGTTATACAAATGTCATGTTAAAATATATTTAGAATTGGTGGTGTGTTCCCCACCCCCACCAACATTTTTTCCTTATTTGGGTTTGGATCCATATAAACTGGTATGGAATAGATTTGCTAACAGCTGGCTTCCCCATTGCTCCTCTCAGCAGCTGAAAATATTCCTCAGTGGGTCATGGGACTGAGGGGAATGGGAGCCTTGGAAAGCTGGACAGAGACCACCTCCATAAAGAGAAGCTTCCACACAAAATTATCCCTCTGTGCGATAGCCCACAGTATTAAACAGAAGGAAGGAATCTGCTATTGATAGGGGTGTTGACACAAACCAGTCCCTTTCCATATAGATTTGCTTGGATCCAACCCTCTATTTCTTTATGTTGAATATCTGTAATTGCAAGTTAATACAAAATAATATTAATTCATTATATTTGTATCTCGCCTTTTTTCCTTTCAAGGAACTCTATGAGGCCTACATAAGTCTCCTCCTCCTCCTCTCAGTCTTATTCTAACTACAACATTTACCCAGAAAGTCCTCCTGGACTATTGGTTAATGTGAATTATAAATCCAATTATAAAACAACAACAATCTTGAGAGGTAGGTTGTGCTGAGAGTCTGTGGCTGACTCAAAGTCACCCAATTAGTTCCATGGCTGAGCAGGGACTAGAACCCAGATCTCCTAAGTCCCAGTTCCACATTCTTAATTACCTGACTCTTGAGAAATATTTTTAATAGTAAATTACAGCTAAACATCAGACTATATGAGCTCAATTTAATCAAACCATCAATCCAACCATGTAGTCCTTCTTTTGGATTTGTTTTTCCTTTTCCAGGGTTGGTCTATGTACTGATATATGTTTGTCTTTCTCTCACTATCTTTCTGCAGACCAAAGATGTCCACTAGGTCAGATACAGGAAAAACCTGTCATCCAAGATAGGTTATCTGTCAACTAAAATCTACTCATTTTTTAAAGACTAGGCTTTTAAAAAGGTCTCAAGTTTACACCTTGCCAAAGAAAATTGTTAACTTTAGCTTATACTATCCCTGAAACATGACATGGTAACCCTACAAGTAGTTGGAGGAACCAAGGCAGTAAGCTGAATCAATCATACCTATTGGTTTGGATCTGGATGCAGGCTTAAATCCAATGCCATGTGTGCAGATCTTGTGAAATGGGAATTCCACAACCTCTGCTCTCCACTGCACAGTCCCAAATATGGTACAGGCACCCTCCAAACTTATAGAAGATTGGGGATAGAAAATCCTTTCCACTAGCAATTTTCACTCTGCTGGTGAATGCCACTGCTGTACTCAAGCTTCCGGCAGACTTAAAATATAGACCCATTAATGCAAATAGGACTGAAGTTAGCTTTTACAATCTTAAACCTCATTGATTTCAATGGATTTGCTCCAAGTATGTCAAAGTGTGCAATTCCATTCATTTCTAGACATACTGGGAGAGGCATGCTAGGAATTTTAGGTTGTTGTTGTTCCCCACCCCCAAACATATGTAGGATTGTATGTAATCCATTGCCTTGAACTAAGAAGCTGCAGTATCCATTGCCTTGAACTAAGAAGCTGTAAATTCTTATCAGTGGTAGAAAAGGGAGAATAAATGAATCTAAGCTAATATTGTATTATTCCATGAGGGCAAAATCTTGACAGTACTGTTCAAATCAACTGTTGGCCCTAAGAACTACCTTCCACAAGTAAAGCAGCCTCATCCAACCTAGTGTTGTCCAGCTGTTTTAAAGTGCAACTTCTATCAGTTCCTGCCAACATGGCCTATGGGAAGTGATTATAACACCTGTAGTCCAAAACATGGTTGATGAGGGCTGAAGTGAAGGAATGACAAACACTTTTGCAACTGACCCAAGGCGGGGAAGGAGCGAAAAGGCACATGGGCCGCCGTCAGAAGCAAAGGGGCTGAAAAAAGGCGACCGAAGCCAATTGCCCGCCTCCCTACCCATGAAAGACAGGAGCATCCTCAGTTTCCCTCAGGTCAATGGGCATACAAACTTTGAGCTGCGGCCTATGGGGGCGTTACCCGAAATATTATCCGGAAAAGCAAAGGAAGGCCGCGTCGCTGCTCACCGCACGGTCCGGATCACGAAGTAGACGATCAGGGCAGCGCTGGCCAGGACGAGCACCGAGAGGGCGCGCTGGGTCATGGGCTGGTAGGCCTCCTTCAGCCCATGCACGGGCGCCACGCTGCTGTCGCTCTCATTGGCGCTCCGCACCGCCTCGCCACCGTCGGGGGAGTCGGTGCCGGCCGGGGTGGCCGCGGGCACGGCGTTGGCGCCCGAGTGCACAGGCTGCGGGGGGTGCGTCAGGGCAGGGGCGCCTTCTCCACACAGCGCGGCCACCAGAAGCAGCGCCGGCAAGAGCAGCAGGGGGAGAGGAGACGGTGGCGGCGACAGCCGCCGCATCCCTCCCCGCCCTAACCTGGCCTAAGCACCGCTGGGCCCTTCAGGGAAGTCGGAAAGAGGAGAAGCGGAAGTCCCCATCTTTCCGGCCGCCGAAGGCGCTGCCATGGACGCCGAGTGACGCGACGACGCTCGGCCCGCCTCCCTCCGCCCGCTGGCGCCACGTGACGGGCGAGCTCGGCGGATGCGCGCGGAGTAGTTGCGCGGCGCTCCCGACCCCTCCTTGTTCTCGTGTCGGCGCGCCGGGGCTGCGGGTTGGTGGTCGCGCATCATAAATGCGGAGGCGCCGTGCCTGGATGGTCCCCCCCCCCCCCAGCCTGAAGCCCTCCAGATACATTGGCCCAAACACTCTCAACAGTTGTAGTCCAACACATTGGAAAACTCCAGGCTGAAGAAGGCTGGGTTGGATAGTACCTGAGAGTGACGGATATCGTTGTGGCTGGTCGCGTCAGCAAGAGCGCTTTCATGAGTGTTTATAAAAATTGCATTATGTATGTATTTATTACACTTACATTCTGCTAAATTGGTCCGAGGGCCTTCTAAACATTCAGGCTTTCCCGTTAAAGTTTGCTTGCTGTGTAGTTAGGACCATCTTGAAGAATAAGAACAATGGAATAATAATAAAATCACGGTTTCTTTTCGTGTCGGAGGCCATGGAGGCTTAGGCAGATTTCTACACGTTTCTGAACTTCTGCATTATGCACCAACTGTTCTTCAGAAGTTGGAGGTGGGAATAAAGTGTCTAGAAAGTGTTAGTAATATAATAAGAATAAACTGCCTTTTAAACAATTTTAATTTTATATACCCACCTCCTCCCTCTATCCCTTATTCTGTGGAAATCATGTCTTAGCCTAAGGGCTGATGAAGCTTGCATGTTGCTTACTAAGCTATTCAGGAAGCCTGGTGGCTCAAGGGCTGGTGATGAACATTGTAAATCCAATAATGTGGTGACTAAGGACAGAATCCTATCAAGAACGCAGAGGCTTATTATGCTCATCCAATGCAGGGTGGGATGAACAATGGAGGCAAACTTCATAGATTGCCACTTTCAAGCCCTCAAGACAGCATGCCACAGAGAGAGAAGGAAGGAGGCTGGAGTGGCTTCTGGATTCTTTGCATCCTTGCTGCTCCAGTTGCTTCTCCTCCCCATCCCCTCAAATGCACTCTTTTGTCCCTCTCAGAGGTCACTTTCCTACCCTCTGAGAGCAGCCTATGCAATTCTTTCAACACCAGTTACAAAAGGGCAGTGGGGAGCAGAACTTGGATTTTGAGCTCCAGGATTGAAGTCCTGTCTCTGACGATACAGGTGGGAATCCAAAGTATCCTATGCCTTTCCCCGGGCAATACCAAGAGGCCATAGGCTTGTTTTCTGCAACAGCTACTTGCAAGATACTGGAAGTTGTGGTCCAACACATCTGGAGAGCGCCAAGTTTTGGGTAGACTGAACTAAAACAACATTCAAAATACCTTTTTAGTTCCACAAAGGTATAAACTGCTCCCTAACGCTCAGATTTCAGACACAGACTTATACCTCTAGTCCAGTATTAGTTGCCACTCTGATATTTTTGGGTCTTAGGTAGTAGTTTTTCCTTGCTCATGATGCTTCTCATTTGATTTGCCAAGGACTGATAGTGGGACCTTCTGCAGTGCAAAGTATGTGACCTGATAGTGAGGGATTGCAGTCATCTGAAGCTTTCCAGGGATTCCACTGACAGTATTTCCATGCAATAATTCATTTATTACATCTCTGCAATGTCCAATAGCCAAAGTTCTTCAAGCAATGTATGAAAATCAGAACTCTAAAATGCAGCATAACAAAACATATGATACCTTTAATGCACAGAAATGTAAAACAAATTGAGACAGCTTAAAACAATAGCGAGGACCCAGGAAAAACTCACATTAAAACCCCTGCCCCATGCCATCAATTGCCTGGGATTAGAGGGAAATAACCTGGTGCTGAAAAGATGACAGCATTGGCAATTTGTGGATATCTTTGTGGAGAGCAATCCACAATTAGGGGCTACTGCCAAAAAGCCCTCTCCCTTAGTATCATCTTCCAAACCTGCCTCAGAAGCACTTGGAAGAGGGTCGCAGATGTTTATCATGTACACCTATGTCCGTAACGCAAGAAGTGCTGCGTGCCTCAAAAGTATAGCATTGTGCTAGCACAAACATAGGGCAGACCCCTGAGCAACCATAAGCTAATTGGCATTTCTGGCCCTCCCCAGTTCTAACCAGTTTTTATTTTAGTGTTTAGCAGACCTGCTAAAGGAAGTATTGTACCAACAGTACCTTCTCATCAGTGCAAGGGTATATATAATTTTATATTAAGTTGTGTACACCTTTCCTGTGACACATGTAATGGCCCTTTTTTGTCTAGCAGGCATTAATTGAGCACAGGTTTGCTCTATAATTCTACCAATTTATCAGGATTATTCAGTATTTGTATGTCACTGCTTTAGTTGGAAGGCTTTCCCAAAGGCAGAAGTAATCTGCTGTACTTCTCTAACCAATAATGGATCTTACTTTTTACTGTGATGGCGTGTTAAGACACCTTTACACTCCTCCATCTAAAACAGATAAATAGAACTGGGCTGTCTATTACCCAAAATGATGCCAAATGGTTTCCATTTTATTTCATATAACTATTCATCAATAATAATGTTTTATGTTGGGAGTGTAGTGCACTGTATATACGATTCCAAAAAGTACTTTCTTCATATTTCACATTAACATTTGCAGCATTTAACAAAAAGAAGATGATGTGCTGGCTTTTGGGGTTTTAACGATTTGAATAGGATTAAATATATGGGATGGGTATATAGGTTAAACACAAAGTTATGTTGATTACTCTCTGAAGAGGAAGCTATGTAATATGTAATTCTGTTAATATTGGATGTAATGCTATATTTGCTATGTAATACAGATTGGATGCTAGTTACCGGTCTACGCTACATAATAATATACATGTGCACGCACACACATACAGGTAGTCCCCAGGTTATGAATGTCCAGGTTACAAACAACCTATATTTACAAAATAAACTCTATGGGAATATTTCTGTTTTTCTTTAGATACTCATGACTTTTCACCAGAGATAGAAAATCTCTAGAGATACATCATGGCTGCATGAAGTATATCTAGGGAACTATGTGACATGCTTAGGAATGCCTCATCAGTGGTGCCTAGTCCCCTAGAGATACAGTATTTACAGCTTTTTGTTCTGGATGTCACTTCAAGCATACCCAAGCCAATGTGTTTCCAAGCACATGTAGGGTACATAGTTCTCCTTTGGACTTTCTGTAGCTTTTACCCTTGTAACCAGACCCTCAGTTGCTACAAGGCCATTTATGGTGAGGGGAAAAATGGCTGTACAAATAACCCTTGGAGCCTACTTCGAGAAAGCAACTCCAACACTAACTCCCCAGCCTCTCCAGAAGCACAATTAAACCCTGCCTCTCCAGCACCAGCTCCGTCTTCATCTTCATTAGTTAATGTTACCTCAAGGATGTTCTAAACTGTTTTAAGAAGCATTTCTTTTATCTGTGTTTTTGCAATACTGTGTACCTAAACACATACACATGTACATACCGATTGTCTCTTCAGTGACTGTAGTTAATTTATTATTACTGTATTATTATCATTATTACAATGCTGTATTGTGTTTAAAATGTTTTAATGAATATGTAAGTGTTCTTTAAGTGTTTTGTATGCATATAAAAGGTAAAATATATGCATATACTAAATAAACATTTGGGCTACTCATGTGATCCAACTTACATACAAATTTGACTTAAGGAAGTTCTCATGAATGGAACTCATCCACGGCAGGGACTATGCGTGTGTGTGTGTGTGTGTGTGTGTGTGTAGTTGTCATGTATGGATAAAATATTTAGGAAAAACAATTGTGCAGCTTTATCCTGTCCATGTTAACTTTAACGTGCAGTCCTGCTGTGTTCAGTGAGAGCATAAGTGTTTCAGATTGTTAGTACCATGTGTGAAACCAGGTCTTTTGAGACTCGGAGGAAGATTATGCTCCTTTCCTTCTCAGAAATAGATTTAGTGTTGAATCTAAAAGAAATCGAGATGACATTGACACAAGTTGAGCCATGCAGCAGTCAATGGATTTAGTGTTTATTAAACAACTGTCTGGCACTGTACTCCTGCAGTCCCTCACAGCGAGCACTGTGCTTCATTTTAAATGTTTTACATGACAGGTAACAGATATCAAGTTCTGGTAAAAAGCTTTGTTAAACTATGTATTAAAATTAATAGGATTGACTTGACTGTTACTGTGATGAAAAAGAAAATTGGGCGTTTTTTCATTTTCCAAAATAATTCTTTTACATCACTGGTGAGAAATATTACATGAAGGATAATTAGTTAGGTGTCAAGTTTGTCCACCCAGGTGGGAGACTTTTTATCCACAAATTAAGTGCTATGTTGGAAAAGGGCACTTAGGGACTCTGAAAGGACACATATTTTAGTTTATACCATTTTAGCAACAATTGCTGTTTTAACTATTATTATATTTTTATTGAGATTATGCTTTATCTTGCAGGCTGAGAGGGCAGTGAACCAAAGAGCAGCTTAGAAGTCTTTTAAATCAATAATAGTGTAATCTTATCTACATTTAATCAGAAGAAAATTTCATTGCATTCAGTGGGGCTTACTCCCAGGTAGGGGGTATAAAATTGCATCCTAAATCAATAACACTTTACTGTGAGCATTATTAGACCAGCAGGCATTGAAACTGAGAAGTGTATTTGGGAAACAGCTGATCTATCCTTTGTCTTCAGAGTTTAGCAAAAATGCCATTTGACAGACTTCTCAATCAGGTGATTTGAGAATATGTTGGCTTCTAACTCCCAGCCAGCATGAACAGGCTTCTGGGGCATGTTGGGAACTGTCCACCAGCATTTGAAGGGCAATGGAATGGGGGGGAAGTCCCTACATAGGGGCTTCCATGGGGAAAATATACCAATCAGACCAAAATCAGCAGTCCAATTTTCTGCTTCTATTAGTGACTGCTGAAATGGCTTTCAAGTAACAGAGTAAAGGATTTTTTCCATTACCTACCTATTTTTTTATCATTGAACCCAAAGAT